AAGTATACAAGACTATTTGCTGTAGATCCCAGAAAGAACTGATAGATCCACAAACATTAAGTCTTCAATATCCAGAAGCAATTGTCTGGGATGAAGCAGCATCACTTCCCAGGCTTCCAACCAGTCTTCAGATCAGAATGCAAAATTAGGATAACATTCTGTTAAATATTACAGAATGATTGAAATATATGTATATATTTAAAAAAACCCAAACATTTAATGACACCACCAAAAACCGGGGAAAGGTGAGGCGCTACTTTGAATCTGGAAAGTTCTGAAACAAGCAGATCTGCCATCTCTTACAATCTCTCTGAGTACTTTCTATACTACATCTGCAAGGAGGAACTATTTTTTTTTAACCATCCTTACTGAATATGCTATGATATGCTTTGTAGTAATCAACATGCCATTTTAAAATTCTATTTCCAGAGCAATCCAAATTACCCCTATGAAGAAGGTGGCCTTGTTTCCAGAAGCTCAGTATCACCAAGTTAGAAGTGCATTTTATTCTTTGTGTATGGACATATGTACACAGCTCTGGTAAGACAGCACATTAGGTGAGATTTACATGAATAAACTCACACTCACAAACTTCAGCAATCTCTTTAATATAACAAACATATCCAATTTCGGAATACAAATTGGAACCAGCTAACAAAAAAAACTCAAAATAACTTTCAGAATGCCAAAGAGGGCTTACGCAGAACAGTGCACATTTATTCTGAGGTATTGTATTCATGAAAACAACAACAACAAAAAAATCAAACCAACACAACTATCCTCCAACATTCTAGAAGAATTTTTAGCAAGGCAAAAGCAGTTAGGTGGCATGTGTTGATTAAGCATGTGTAAACAGTGTAAAAATACAGAATATGAACAGCAACCAATTCAAAACTTTGGTTATGAAAAGTGATGTAACCCCATCAATCAAAGAAAAATAAGCCAGAGTAATGCAAAATATCATTTGTTAAAATATGCTCATCCATGCAGCTAAGTGGAAGTCAGAAGCTAGCAGGATGAATTTAAAAATACCTTCCTTTACTTAGTAACTTTCTTTAGATTGACTGTCATTCAGTTTTCCATGGAAAGAGAACGACTGATGAAAAGCTTCAGTCCACTGGTAAACGTACTTTTGAAGATTCCAATGAGGTGTTACAAATGATGTTTGTTTAAGTGGTTGTTTTTTATCATTCAGCATGGCATACAATCCCACTCTAATGTTACAAGCAAATGGTGCCATGGTGCACTAATTTTTACTGTTTTGGAAGGCGAGAGCTGGGAGATTGGTTGCTCCAGGTGAACTGGAAGGTTTTCATGTTTTTCCTCTCAAGAGCAGCAACAAACTCCAGGGCAAACCTGGTAAGCCACTTAACATTTTATTTCAAACAAATAATATATTGGCAACCAAGATATACGAGTGGAATCTGGATTGTGACCAGCAGTGCATGTGCTTCTCAGGAAAGTCAAGCTTTGTTTCAGATGCACATCAGGAGCCTAAGCAGCACGAGGCTTTTCACACTGAAACAATTATACCAATGCCATCTGCCTGACGCACACTTACAGGTCTTTCTTGTCTTCTGCTTCACTCGAAGCGTTCTGAAAAGAGAATAAAAATCACATTTTACATCTGGGAAGACATGATGGCAGATGGACTGTTTTGCCCTCTTGTAGTTGTATCTGCTTTGTTCACTACGCACCCTTCACAGCTGTAGTCCCATCAACACCATTTCCACATAACATGTGCTTCTGATCCTTAACACATTAGCAGCCAAGTAGCCTGCTTCTCCTCTGATCACGTTATCGTTGAACTGTGCAGCAAACTAAGCAGTAAATGCTTTCTACTAATAACTCCTAGGGATAAATCAGCTGCATCTACAGTGCACTCAGTACTTTCTGCACTTTCTAGTCAGAGATGAACTCTACACTGTAAGGATGTGCACACCAGGCCATAAAACTGTTAGAAATGCAGCAGAACTCCTATAGCTCATTACGCAGGGAAGCACAATGACAGCACAGAGATGGCGGTCTCAACTTCGGAACGCAAACTGACTGAGTAGTCTCTAAAGAAGGACATGATGAGGCAGGGAAATTAGTAGCAGCTTCACACAATACAGAACTATAATCAGCTCAAATTTGCAATTTGATCGACCAATTTCTTAATACACAGCCAACAAACCAAACCGCTCCTCTTGGAAAGCGGCCACCAGAATTTTAACATCAATGCATTTTCTCTCTAGGCCACTATCTGTAAACAGACTAACATTCACATTTATTGATCCATTTCAACCCAAACTAACAGGGTCAGGCCGATGTTCAGCCTGAAGTATACCAACACCTCACAGACAAAAAGAACAAGCAGGGCTCCCAGTTCTACCTGAAATAATTACCGTGTACGTTGCAGATACTGCTGCCATGCACATATGCAAACCTGATCAAACAGCTAATCCAGTTTTAGCTCGCTGAACTTCTTTTTCTATTTTGTACTTCAGTTTGAATTTTTATATTTGCCTGTTCTTAGCCTAGGTGGTTTCAGTTTTTTCCTTCTTGCATTGTAACAGCACTGCAACGTTTATAATCCACTGTTGTGAAAGCATGTTTAAAGAGCAAACAAAATAAAATGACACCTACAAACTATGTATACACCACACACACTACTGCTATCATTTTCTCAGAAGCTTCATTTTGGTCTAAAACTTAGCTCTCAAGAGACATTAAAATACAGTCTGATGACCTGAAGAGCAAAGAAGAAAATGCTAATAGCTTTGCCAAGCAGTTCTTTCAAGACAAAATTTTACTTTTTTTTTTTTTAAATGAAGTTCAAGGAGTGCTTCCCATTTAAACTTCACGCTCTACTAAAGGTTTTACATAGTAAATAGCTAACAAAAAGAATTCTGCAGCACAATTCAGAATGCTGCTTACACACTGAGCCAGAACCACTCACCTGAAGTCGTTCGTACTCTTTCATCAGACGGTCGTACTCTCTTTTAAGGCCTTCAGACTGCTTTTTAACTGCTGCCACTTCATTATTTGCCTTGTGGAGAGCTGTAAAATATCAGGATTTGTGTTTCAATCATTAACTGTACTGCTGTACTTCAGAGCTCTGTTTGTGTATTAGTGCTCCACCATATTTGACGCCCCCTCCTTGTGAAAGCTGAAATTTAGAATGGAGCATTGGGGGTTGGAACTACATGATCCTGGGGGTTGGAACTACATGATCCTTGAGGTCCCTTCCAACCCGGGTGATTCTGTGATTCTGAGCATCCCAGGACACAGGAACAGATCAGGAAAGGGAAGGGAAGGAAAATGACTTATATTCACAGATGGCAAAAAAAGGAGCACAGTGGGGCTGTGTGAAAGGTAAGGGCAAAGCCAGTAAACTTTTGAGTGGAATAAGAAAATGATGAGAATGCAAATTTATGCCACACTGCAGGAGACAATTCCAGAAAAACAAAACACCACAACTCCAAAAGCCATCTTAAGAGGAAAATGGCATTCAAACACTGTGCAAAATTTTGGCAAAGTAACCAAGGATATCTGTCAAATATGGGGAAAGGAGGTAAAATATTACATTATTACAGGAGCATGGACTCTCGTATTTTACCATGCAGGAGTTCGTTCATTAGAACCATCACTTTATGGATGAGAAAGCACAAATGGGGATGGGGGGAGGGGAGGCAGACAACCATGAAAAGGCTTTTACTATCAGAAAAATATATATATATTTATCTACTCCTTATTTCAAAAGAAATAAGCTGAAAGTAAGTCTATGCTGCAAGTCTGCTGCAGTACAGAACAGCCCAGGAATCCACAGGGGCTTATTTACAATGGGGGGTAAACCAGCACCAAGTTTCCCAAAGCTGTTACTCCTAAACTGTTAGTGAGCATCCAGTAAGGTCACTTAGACATCATGCTCTTTTGCTATAGGCATCTCATCTGTATGTTTTTTTTTGCTGGAGCAGCACAGGGATACCCTAATACCAGATTTACTTACATTACAGCAGAGAAACATTGTTAGTGACTGATAAAACTGCCCCACATAGCAGCTCTATCCTCCTTTTACTCTTACCACTGAGATCTGCATTTTTAAATCTGGCTATTTTCCTTTCTCCAACAATGTGCATGATCCTTTGCCTGTGAGCTGCCTGAAAACAGACTGCTCTTTCCCAGAGACCTCCCAGACACTGCAGCACTTCTCTGAGAGACTGTTCTCAAAAGATGAAGAGCTAGACATGCTTTCTGTAAGCACCACACAAGCATATGATAAGCACCACACACTTTCGTATGAACTGTTTCACTTTGGGAGCTTCCTCTTGTTCCTGAGACATCAGGACACTGATGTGACCACCTTCCCACATGTAAAAAAGAAGACTCCCTTCCTTTGTCTTTTTGCTTGTTTGTTTCTTTGTTTTTTAATTTGCTGTTTAGATTTAAAAAAAAAATCTGCAAGAGTTCTTCCAATAATATTACTTCACTTACTTGAAATTCTGGTCTACTGAAGTTAATTACATTTAAGCTTGTTGATTCTACTGTGGTCAAAAATTAATTCTTACCCTTACATCACTGCTTTCACCTCATCCTGCATACATATCCCTTTAATGCAGTCTCGATGTCACCAATGCAAATACCTTCTTCTAAAGATCTTAGTATTTGGAACTAACCATGATTTCCACATATCCAATAAGTAAAAGTCATATTGTATTCATTCTATTTGATCTTCTCTCTGTTCTTGCTACTATTGAAAGTATTGATAGTAAAATTTAGGAATCACTCTGAAGTGAATGTGACAAATTGTTAAGATCCTGATTTTTAAGCTGTAGGCAAAAAGCACATCCATACAGAATTTCACCTCCGCTACATCTGCCTCTGAAATTATTTTTGTCAGGTTACTGTAGAAATATTCAGTTTCTGAAGAGGACAATTATTGACCTAAAGCTATTTAGTGTTTATAAGCAGCAGATTAGTACTTTAGTTGCAACCAAAAACAACTGTATCATTAAAGCGTGAACAAAATGTCTAAAAATATCTGCAAATCAAGAAAACAAACAAGCCAGTACATTGTTTCAATGTTTTGACCAAAACAGATGTGTGACAGGAACAACTCACCTAACCCCAGAAGAAGAAAGAGCAAAGAGCAGATTGTCCTTTCCACCTGTTTTGGCTATGGATCAGAAAGCCAGCCTGCTGGGTGACATTCTTAATGTAGCCCACCTACATTCTTGATCTCCTCCTCATCAAGCATCCCCACAGCTTCAGGGACTGGGCTTTGTGGACACAGTAAGATGGAGTGTCATATCTGTGACAACATGAGTTCTCCATCGTGCCAACTTCTCTGGATGTCTTTCTGTCAAGCAACTGAGGCCCTCCATGCACAGCTGCTCCGCTATTTTGCCAAGACGTGAGCGCTGCACTACAGCTGTATCAAAGATCAGGTGTCCTGGTTGTCATACGGATCGCATCAGAGGAACACCCAACCACTATAAAACAGAGAATACTTTGTTTGCATAATACAGCCAGTTATTATTTCCAGCTTCCATCTGACCTGTTGATTTGCCTCACAGGAGCCAGAGCAGCTGGACTGGCAGCAAGCAAAACCTGACAGCTGATTGTTCCTACCAAACAAATGCGTGAGAAGATGTGAGTGAGAGATGCTGCTCCTATGTTAATGAAACTGGAGAGAGAAATAGTCACTAAGTCCTTGCATAAAGAAAACCATGCTTGCTGTACACAGCACCATCCCTTTGAGTCATCAGATATAAAACTTTCTTGACGTGACAGCATGCAATGTTCTCACAGTTACAATTTCATGGTTGTAAAAGGAAAAATTAAGTAAGATGGACTTTGTTCCTAAGCCTTCCTCTGCCATCACCTCAATAAAAGCTGACCACAGCCAATTCAGTTCACTGCCCCATGTCTCCTCTTCCCACCTTACAAAAGAAAGCTGACAAAGGATGATTTTTTTTTTTGTTTATAAGAACTTGAGTGGTGCTTCACTGAAACTCAACACATGTGGTATTTTCATGTATGTTACTAGCCTGCCTGACAACACAAAGACCAATCCGTACCAGTGGAAATAAGTAGCAAGTTCCATGAGATGCATTCACAGTGTGCATATTAGTGACTTCTATCCTTCCAACCATCTTCATGCTGTAGGTCTTTATATGCACATTTTCTAGAAATGTATTTCAAAACCAGATGCCCACACATACACTCTTGCTCTCTTCTGTCTCCTACAGTGCAGCGCAACCAAGAAGCAGAAGAATCTGTGACACATTCTGTGCACAAAACAAACCTCATTAAAGGATGCACAGAAGTTTTATCAGAATTTTCTCCCGCCCTTATTGTATGTTTGGAACAACAATGCATATAAAGAAAGAGTATTTTCAGGAAATAGTTGAAGTTCCACAGTACCTAAATGAGTGAAATCCTAATGGCAACAAACTGGTCAAGATTCTGCCATCAGGTCCGTTCCGCTGCAAGTTCAAATCAATATCAGTTTTCTGTATGAATTTCTGTTGTGTGAATAAAGTGGAAGCCTTTACCATACAATAGGACTGCATCACCAAAAAGATGACCTGAGATAGCAGAAAATGAAATAATACAGCATTGCAGAAGTCGTCGTCCTGCCCAAAGGGTCCTGATAGTTACAAACAGGCATTTCACATGAACATTCCTACAGCTGTGAGAAAAAAACAAGTTAATGTACTCAAAGTCCCATTCATGACCTCAGTCAAAGGACAGCTGTCAGGATAGCTGCTTTGTGAAGCTTATCTTAATTCCATCCTCATCTTCAATTGGTGATGGCTTATTTTAACTTTTTGAATCAATTTCAGTACTATCCAAACGAAACAAAGCAACACACCAACACTCATATGGATTGCATTTGTCACAATTAGCATTTTGGATATATGAACATTGCAGTAAAGTCACAATTTACCAATAAAAAACCAAAATACACAATATGGGCAGCATTAGGCAACTAATGTCGCATCACCTTTCACTTCCCCAGAAAGATCCCATAGAGTTGACAAGCAGCTACAAACAGCTTTCAACAACCTCAGTAAAGGTTTTGTTAGAAATTTAGCTAATGCATAGCAAGAAAATTATTCTCACCTCTGCACTGAGGAGTGCTAGGATTACTCACTTTTAGATATATTAGGACACTTTTTGTAGCAGACATGTATCAGTAAAACACCTTCTCAAAGTTTGTAGGAAGTCAAGTCATTACATGTCTAGGTATGCTAAAAATGGCTTTAGACTCTAAAGTGCCAGCCCCACTGCTGGGCGCCCATAAAGCCACCACTATGTGGCTCTGCAATAAAGGAGACAAAAACTACCCCCTTTTCCTTCACTTTCAAGGAAAAAAAAAAAAAAAAAAGACCTCAATGGGGATAAGAGAATTAAGTTTGAAAATATAAAACTGGACAAAATCTTTGATAGCCAATTCCAATCTTCCTTCAGAATTTAGTAACTCCACTGCTCAGTCTCTTTGCCTTGTTCTTTCACTTCTCATCTCCAGCTGTCCAGAATACATTAAGTTGCAAAATATCTTACTTTAGGACTTCTTTTGTGGTTAATTGAACACCTACATTCTTAATCTCTTCCTCCTCCTCAAGTGTCCCCAGAACTTCAGGAACTGGACTTTGTGGACACAAGGGAAAAGTTATGTTTCAGTCATGCTCAACAGCATGCAAAAAATTGAAAAGCTTGTTTCACTTCTTTTTAACAATCCCAACTTCGATTTTATGTAGGACATTTCTCACATTTAGTGAGCATAAAACTCAACATTCACCTGCTCAGCTGGAGAAGTTTCAAAAGAAAACAGAAGTGCAATCCACAGGCAGACTAATGCATACAAAGCTGTTTCTACAGATGTGTTCAGTGTTTATTATCAAGCACTTCTAGATTATTGGATATCAGTTTCTTCAATAAAAGGTATATGAAAACTTACAGAAACCTAAGACAGACATATCCCCACACCATCTAGCTGATGGCAATTAATGTAACCATGGAATTTTCTGTTTGAGGTTTTGGCTACAAAAGGGGGTGGCAACAGGAGGAGGGCTGTAAATATTTCCTGATCCATTAAGATCCTCTCCCCTACTTTTCTCCCCCCAACAAAAAGACTCAAGCATGCCTTCACTTATATATCTTTTAGGTAGACAACAGCCTGCAGAGAGAAAGCAGCTGAAGCAGCATGTGGTAAATTTATTTATTCTTCCACTTTTTCAAGAGCTACCGACTGAAAAGCTTACTTTATATTAGTGTTGCATGCCATCAGTTAGACTAAAGCAAACATATGCATTTATATTTTTCATTGATCCTGTCACTTCAAAGGCAGCTTTCCTACATTTCTGTAAGAAAACAGCAGGAGAGGGAAAACCCACAATCAAACCTGCCTGGGAATGTGAATTAATAAGACCTTCTGCTTAGAGATTCTTGCTGCTTCAAGCCTAGCTGAAAAAAGCTGTTCTGTTCTTGTTTGCCTTCCCAGTGGACAACAGAAAGGATTTCATAAAATATTTGGCGTTGCTATTTTTGCTTTGTAGCAGCACCATGCAATGTGAAAGCAGCACTGTGTTTTGATGACAACGTGCTACCTGGTACCATGAAAACCTGTGTTTTGTAATAGCCTGTGTATCTGATTAACGCTTTCCAGATAGCAGGCAGTGTTATCTCAAAAACACTAATTTCAGATGAGTAGATGTTCGTAAGCCTAGACAAATCCAAACAAGACAGAACTAAGCAGGTAAAATCTGCTCTGTTTCAACTTGGACTGCCATGAAAGCAGTTCTGACAAGCTGAACCCTACACACGGAAGCTCCTAATATGCGTCACGATATAATTTGCAAGAAATGTTTCCTATCAGACTTGAAAAAGGATTTAAAAAACAAAAAAGCTAACACCTCTGCTGCATGAGATACGTGTATTTAAAATAGCAGTTAGACTTTCCTGCAACCTGGTTTAAAACCTGCTTCATACAAAAAAGCCCTCAACCATGTATTTCCCCATTTTATACATAGAGATTAGTTGTTACATGACATGAAAGATCAGTCTGATGCCTGCAGAAACTTCCAATTTATTCTGTATCCTCACCAATGAGATCTAGGGGATAAGTCGATGCCATTAAAATCTATCAGTTCCATTTCTTTATAATAATAATTTAACCAAGGTGCTCAAATCATACCACTAACATTTTCATAATGAAAACTTCTGCTATAACATGGTGGTGGTGACAGTGTATTTTTCCAGTCCCTTATCAAATGTAAAGAAATCCCAAACCAAGTGTTCCTATGCAATACCAAGAATAAATTTTTGACCTCTAGTGTTGAAAAGATTTTTTCTTTATTCCCCAAAGAAGTCCTACCCAATATTTACCATTTGACGTCTTCTCTAACTCTGCTTTCAACTGTCCAATTTCCTTCCTCAATTTTCCATTAGTTGTTTCCATCGCCTCTTTATTTTCACCGCTTCCTTTTTCATTCAGGGCCTATTAAAAACCACAGATGCTGCCATTAATTTTGGTTAAATTAGTTGAATATTAATGTCAAACTATCAGAGAAAGTCAGCCTTGATCTTGCAAAGCAACGAGTTTAATCAAATGTCAATATAACAGGCAGATACCCAGTCATACCATAAAAGAACAAAAAAGAAAGGAAAAAAAAAAAAATGAAAGAAAAATTGTTCAGTATTTAAAGCTGCTATCAAGCCTTGTTCTGTACGTATGCACAGGTATGTCATCATCTCCCAGGTAAAAGTAACTGGTATCTCTGCAACTTCTGTATAGGTTACAAAAGGCTTTATGAAAAGACATACAGGAATGCACATGACAGGACACTGCCATGTTTATGTGCAATTTGTTCTAAATAACTGTTATCCTGTTTTACATGTCAGGTTCACAGCTACTGTTTTGATCCTCAGAATACTCTGACACCCAGAGCAGATTTCCTCAGCAATTCAAGTAACAACTAAGAAAGGATAAGTAAGTACCCTGTAAGTACCAGACACAAGAGCAGTATGCTCTCTGTACTCTCAAAACGTTACCATCTACTATACTTCTGTATGCTCTTATCAGTAAATCACCAACAGCAATACCTTGAAGTATTATACATTAAGGATTACTCTCCCTAATTAGATTCTTTGCTCATATTGCTTCCAGTAGAAATCAAGCATCATCTTTGTTACCAAAATGGCAGTGAAATAGTTGTCAGTCCTTCAAGGGATTCCACTTGACTACCAGTAACAAGACTATAGCCAATTTATTACGAGGCCTCATATTGCCTTCCGTACTTTGTTCTCACCTCCTTCTATTAATACAGTTATTTCTATAAACGTTTGTCTCGAGTCCTGTGCTTCATGGAACTTCTAAAAAGGAAGCATGAACCTAATGAACTAGGCTGTGCAGTATTTACACTCAAAGCCAGAGTGCCTTACATGCAACTGCTCGTACCTCCCTCTGATGGCAGAACAAAGCACATTTGTAAATGAACACAAACGCAGAGGGCCAAGCCACAGAGGAACTTTCACTATATGAGGTTATTAAAACAAAAACCCAATGAAATTCTCAACATTTCCAGCACAATGGAGACCCAGCTACAGCATGGTGGTTGTAACTGTGGATACCACTGCTTTTGCAAATCATGAAACCAAAAACACAAATAGAAACGGACAGGAATGCAGTTTCCAGTTTCTGGCTATCACTTACAAGCAGCTAAGAGAATGTGTTGCTTGGGAAACACACTTAAGAGTGAAAGCAGAACAAAAAGAGGACTTTTGGCCAAATCCCAGCAGGGATTTGAGGAAAAAGTGTACCAGGATGCAGCAAACAGACAAGTTCCAAGGCTATGGTTGAGAGTCTGGATCATTTTGACAGAATACCAGACTCAAAGATTTTGGAATCATTTCATACTTGGGAAATATGTCACATACACTCCAGTGATTCTCATTTCATACATCTCAAACACCTGTATGTTCTGCATCTTTCTAATATCTTTTGCCCAGAGAATGTTCTCTTTGTCTAGAAATTTATTATAATAAAAGTCCCGAAAACAATGCTGGCAACCATAAACACAACTCTAGGCAAGAGTGGAATAAAACCTATACACACCCACTTTGACAATGTCATATTTAAGAGTGCTGTATAAATCTTATCTTGGATATCTGTAATTTAGCTTATGGTTCATTCTCTACCAACAGCAGCTGAAGTAGCCAATGACAAGAAAAGATTTCATACATCTAGACAGGCATTTGTTGACTTCCCTCTCTTTATGCAATTGTATACTGAACCACAAAGACAAACAATAGCTTGATTTTCTCCACTCTTATAAAAAAAGTGAGGTGCCTTTGGTCCATTGGTGTTTGTTGGGGTTTTTTTTTTTTGTTTGTTTGTTAGCTTTTTAATATAAGAAATGTTTGGTAATGTCCTCATTAGTAATACAGCAGTACTCTACTGAAAAAGCTAGACAAGACAACTCAGCTCTGGAGCAAATCCTGCTGAGAAGAAACAGCACCAGAACAGCTGTTTCAAAAGCTGCTCTGTGCTGGACTGTTTCAGCCCTGATCTACACAGCCTGACCTGAAGTCCCCTACTTTCTTAAGGTTATCTCAGAGATACTTTGACAAAATTTGTACTGGAAAGACAAGAGCTTCCTTCATTTACTCAGATTACTGTAGTTTCCTACTGAAATTTCTATTCAGTATTCTGAATTGCATATGGTAAGAAAATTATTCTTCCTTTGTCCAGTAGCAGATGATCTCCAGATTATTTTGTACTACTTTGTGTGTAAGAAAATAACTAGAAATGTTTAAAAGATACCTCCTGTAGCCTCTCATTCTCAGCCATGTATTTTTTGGCTGCTTTGGTCGCGTCGTTTACTTGTGTTTCCAGAGCTGCATGAGATGCCATTCCTTTTGCCAACTGAGTAAGAAGGGTAATAGTACGTCTCAAAACACTGGTAAAGAAACACAGTGAACAGCACAGTAATTCACAAGACAAGTTAAAAAAAAAAAAACACAACAACAAAATATCAACAAAACAAACCCAATACACAAAAAAGAACAACCCTTTTTGTCTCTCTTTCAGCATTAGATGTGAAAACATCAACTTAAAGCACCTGAAGGCAAAAATCCAGGTTCAAAGATAGTAACAGTGATGTAAAAAATTGGAAAGGTTGTAATTCATTGAAAATCTGTTTTAACCTGATAAAGGAATCTTCCTTTCCTTCCCAAACCCACAGCTATCAGGGGGTCAGAGACTTGCTTCCCCTAAAGGCTGAAATATGCTCACATGACTGTTTCAAACACAATCTCTGAATGCAAGATCCAAGCAGTACATATGGCAATGAGTATGATTTAAAATAAGAAAAAAAAAACAACAAAATAACACAAATCCTTTATAAAAGGCCTTACAATAAAATATTGGCACATTTATTCTTAACTCTCACACTAACTCTGAATCAAGAAAAGGCCAAAGCAATACTAAATTCCTAGAGTATTCCTAGAGTATGACTATACAGATGCTTTTAAAAAAAACTTGAAAATCCTAATAATTCATTTTTTAATGAAAGCATATTAATAAACGTGTTAACTCACAAGGTAGGCCTTCCCAATTTTTACGCTGAAAGCTCATTTTCTTACTTTTTTTGGTTTTAATAAAAAGGCTTCCATGTCACTGTTTTCCAAGATGCAGCAGTCTAAAGTCAGTAAAACACAACTGAAGCAGAATCACTGTATCACGTAGGTTGGAAGAGGCTTCAGAAGGTCATCCTGTCTGAGGACCCGCCCAAAGCAAGTAGAGCAGACTGCACAAGGCCTTGTCTTGTCCAGCTGAGTTCCCACCACCTCCAAAGATGGACATGCAGCAGAATTTCAGGATTCCTGTAGCATTTGCCCACTCTCAACAGAAGAAAAATACTTATCAGAAGCTTGAGGTTTCAGTTTGTGCCTGTTGCTTCCTGACATTCCGATGAGGGTCCACAAGAAAAGTTAGCTTCATCTTCTCAGTGATCTCCCACAGGAGAGCTGTACAAACCAAAACAGTCTCCACCTCAACTTCTTGGCTAAAGCTAAGCAACAGTGGCCTCACCTTGTGTCATGTTTCAGTGCCTGACGTTTTCGGTGCCAGTATCAACGTTTCGTAAAGGGGAGCCAAAACCAGGCGCGGTCCTGCAACAGTAGTCCCACAAGCACCAGACAGGGAGAAACAATCATTTCTCTTGAACTGCTGGCTACACCCTTGCTATTACAACTCAACACATGATTGACAGTCCATCAGTACTCCCAGGTCCTTTTCTGCAAAGCTGCTTTTTACCCTGCCAGTTAGGCCCAGCCTGTATGTTGTAAGTGATTATTCTACCAGATGTAGTGCTTTTCATCTGCCTTTGTTTGACAACATGAGGCTTCTGTCAGCTTATCCCTCCAGCCTGCATAGCTTTCTGAGTAGCAGCACTGCTCTCCAAGATGTCTACAGGACTCCGGTTTGGACTTTCACAGTCTGCAGATTTGTTGGAAGCACACTTCAACTCATCACTCAAGTCAGTAGCAAGGTCATTAAATGCTATTGGGTCCAGAAGCAATCCCAGAGAGATCCACTTGGAATAAGCAATACCAATTAAATTCTTTTGAGTCCAAGACCCAGTGAATTTCCCACACACCTTTTTCTCCACTTCTCTAGGCTATCCTTCTCCAAATAGACTATCAGGATACCAAAAGAGACTACATACGTAACTTTAGCAATGCCTCTGACATTATGTGCTCTGCCATTTACCCACACAGATAGTGATCTAACCACAGAAGGCAGCAGGAATGATCAGGGACTATCTCCCATTAAGCCTGTGCTGGTTGTTTCCAGCCACTGAATTTGCTCAAGTTCTCCCCAGCTGTACCTCCCACAAGGCTAAAAAAAAAAAAAAAAAAAAAAAAAGGAGGCCAGACAGCAGACCTTATCAGCAAGAAACAAGGCAAAAAAGGCTGGTAATGAGATACTCAATGCCTCATTCTTTCCATCACCCTTTGTAATTCAGTTCCTTGTCCCACTGAGCAGTGGGCCTATGTGTTCTTTAGCTTCCTTTGAATCTTCAGCTCTCCTTACCCCTTTCTGGTTTCAATTCCAGCTGAGCATTAGTTTTCCTATTGCAACCCCTGAATAATTAAGCAATGTTTTCTGTACTTGTCCTAGGTAAACCACCTCATTTTCTTCTCTTTTCATACCCCAGATGAATCTGGATATCACTGCTAATTCATCCCAGCCTTCTGCCTTGCTTATTTTACTTTGTGAGCACTAGAATTGAATCCTTGAAAAAAATCCATCAGCTCTCCCAAGTCTCTATATTCTATGATAGTCTACCACTGGGTAATGCTGAAAAGATCCTCAA